CAGGTTACGACGCCTGCTTTCAAGTGCTGCCCCGGCTTCTAGGTCCAGGCTGAAGTGAACAATTAGCAGCCTGCCAATCACAGCACGGGCAGAAGCAACATTATAGCACCGGTAATGGCAACAATAAAGAAACACATAGGAAGCCAAACTTGATCTTGAACCCTTTGGCATTTCCTCCCTTTTCACTGCCCCACTGGCTCAGAGCTTATCTCAGAGGTCCCACAGGTCTTGAAGAATAACCCAGCTACAACCAGGCTCTCAGAAAAAGGCCCAAGAGGGTCAGTGTGGTACACTGTAGCCAAAAGCTACACCAGAACCCAGTGCTCACCTGATCCCCTGCCCCCTTCGCTGGTGACTTGTCGCCCTGTTCTGCCTGACAGGATTCACAAGGCAGCAGCCCATCTAGTCCAGCAGGCAGCGCAGCCCACATTCGTCCCAAACTTTAAACACTGTCACCCTGCACTACACTCCTGCCTGGCTGCCTCATTCTTTCCAGGACAAAAGGGCTTTTATCCGTGAGCCCTTCAGCAGAGGTGAACGCTTGACCTGGAGTGTTACCGAGGAGACAGCGAGCAGCCCGAGCCGCTGTCCAGGACCATCTTCACCAGAAGTGGGTGTGCACCAGGTGAGCTGGCCCTGGGTCTGAGTCGGCATACTATCATTTAGCAAGATATGGATTGGGCCCCTGAGAGCGAGACTGTTCACTCCTCACAGTGGCCTGGGAAGTAGGGATGAATAGGTGAGGGTCACTTGTGCTGGTCTACCTGACTCATCCCTCAAAGCCCATGCTCTCAGCCACTTGAATGAGCTCAACCCACCCCACCCCCAAAAGGCACTAGAGTGCTTGGTGAGAGCACAGTGCTCCCAGGCAGGGGAAGGAGACACCAAAAACACAGCAACGGGGCCCAAGCCCAGGCCCCCAGTCTGCCATCACCATCCCAACCCAGACAACAAATAATTATTCACATGCAGCTGAATAACTGTCCCTAAAAAACAGGATGAAGAGACTGACTTTTCCTAAGCTACTTGGTTGGAGCCCAAGGTGACCCTGGACTGAGCCAGGACCGAATTTTCAGATTATGCAGGTGTTTTTGGAAGACTCTCCTCTGAGACCAGCACACACGGGTGGAGGCAGTGACCAGGAGGCCAGAACTGTCCCTGAGGCAGCTCCTCCCATCTCTCAGACTTAACGCCACAAGGACCTTAAGACCTAGCAAGGAAGCTGGCTGGCCTCCCTTGGGATGGCAGGACCATGTCTCTCCAGTAAGTATGACTTTGCACAGCCAAGAGAGATTGGGGGGGGGTTCCCTCAAGACACCTGAGTACTTATGCCTCCATCGCTTCCCGCCTCCCTCCTTGAAACCCACAGGGGCACCTCTTTTGAAGTTTAAGTAACTACAAGCTGTTGCAGGCCTGGCCTCCCTGCCCTCACTGGCGAGGTCTGGGGGGGGGGGCAGACAGCTCCAGGCGTTAATACCTAAAAGAGGAGTCTGGAGGACTCTTGAAGAACCTAGAACTTACAAGGGAGACGTCTTTCTTGCGTAGCCCCCCAAACCAGGACCGCAGACAAGCTAAAGGGGAGCCCCTCCCTGAAACTCCAGGGAAGGCTGCGAAGCTGACAGCCTCTAACACATGCCTTTAACGGCCAGTGACGCAGTGAACTCTCTGGAAGCAAATCCTTTCCACTTCTACCAGTAAGCCGGACCTGGAAGCTTCCAGTCTGGCAGACCTCTCCGAGGGGGGTCTTCCTAGGCCAGGAGGAGATCCAGCAGCAAGGGCCCCCCTGTAGTTCTAGGGTTCAGGCGCCATGCTTGGGCTGACACAGCACAGCTCAGAACCCACCCAGAGACGCCCCCACAGTGCCTGTCCTCATGCAGAAGCCGTGCTGGGGGCCCCAGACCCCCAGGAGAGGGCCCAGGCCTCCCCCGGAGCCTGCCCGTGGGCATGGGTCTGCTCATGCGCCATGCACGGGGCCGTCTATCCGTACAGTCGAAACACACACACCACACAGCCATGCGCCGAGCCATCCATCTGTCTCGGGGAGCCAGCTGTCAGAAATGAAAGTACAATCTCCTGGAACCGAGTCTCGGCCAGACTGGGGAAACTTGCATGGGCGGGGTACGCGCACCGAGTCCCCGAAGGCCTGGGCCTGTCACCGGCCAGCCCCTTGCTGCAATGCTGGAATTCCAACCTGCGGCCAGCGGGCCGGCTCCCAGGGCTCCCGCCGCCCACTCCCCTTCCCCTCCCCTTCCTCGCAGGAAAGGGAAGGGCCAGCCTTGCAGCCACCCTCCCCCCTTTTCAGGAGGGGGCATGCCTTTGAGGACACCCCCACCCCCACCACCAAGGCCCCACATTTTCACATTCGGCTGTTTTTTTCTTTCCCTTCTTCCCGTGCCAAGAGAATCAAGCCCTGGCTCCCGCTGCCGACCTGCCTCCCACCCTAAACTGAGCCCCATTCATTAAGGCTGCTCTCAGCCAGGGCAGGACAGGAAGGAAAACAGCACACGGGGCCTGTGAAAGAGACACTCAGAGAGGTTATTTCAAGGCGGAGGAGAGGAAGCAGGGGACAGAGCTTTGCGGGCACTTGCACCGTTCCCCACCTTGTTGCCCACGTGCCCCCCATTCCCAAAGTAGGCTCCCACCCTCCAGCCTCTGCTAACCCTTTCCCCTACCCAGCAGGCACCCCCCCCCCAGCCAGGCCCTGCCCCATTCAGCCACCACAGCCCCCAGTGGCCTCATCCTCTGCAAGGCGGACACACCCAGGCCACCCCCCTCCCCCCATGGAAAGATCAACTTCTTGAGGAGGAGGTTTCGGCTGCCTCCATTTACAAAACCCTCTGCCCTGGCCCCAGGCCACTACAGCTGTCTTTTGGAGGGCATTCTCGCTGCAACGGGTATGGCCCCGGGTTTTCTCCGTGCCCACCGCATCCCCTCCAGACGCCCCCAAACCAACGGCACCCAACACACAGTCTCTTCCATTTCCCCCCACGGCACATTATTAATAAACTGCTCCAACTCCAAACGGAAAGAAGAAAGAGCTCAAACTTTGAAGCCTTGGGAATTAGTAAATCAAGAGCTAAAATTCAAAACAAATGCTCTTTCATGTGGAGGTCCCCCCCTTTTTTCTTTTTGCAGTTTTGTTAAACCACGGGATCCCTTTAGAAGCAAGCACGCCTTTCCTAGCAGCTCCCCATTAATCTAAATGGTTGCAATTACTTTGGGGGGGTGTGGGGAGGATTAAAATAACTGTTTCACCCCCCATTTTGTTATAGAACTGGAAAAGCTTTTGGAACATAAAGCCCACCGGCCTCAGAAGGGGCTGCGTGGGGAATGCTGTTTAGTGGGTCACTGCTCAGCTCTCGGGCGTGCAGGGAGGCACCCGGTCTGGTGGCTCAGCCTGGCGTCACTTCCTCCAGAGCAGAGGAGACAGACAAGATGTTATCAGTAAGACAAACCTTCCGAAAAGCCCCCTTTCAAAAGCTACCACTTCCCTTGCTTATTTCATGTGGTTCAGAAGGGCTAGGGCTCCTCCCTGCACATTCAGGATTTAAAAAATAAAAGCATCTAACTGCCTGTTATTTTGCTCCAACCCTTTCCTCTCCTCGCCTTCTTTCTTTCAGGAACTCTCTCAGCCTTAGAAAGCAGACAAGACACGGTTCAGGCACTGCCCTCCTTCCTCGTGGCTCTGGACCACTCCCCTCCCTGCACCCCAAGCCCCCTCCCCTCTCCGGGTCCCTCTTTTTCCTGCTCAGTTCTCATTAGGAGCTTTGAGTAAACAATAGCCTCTGCCTCAGATAACACTCGGAGTATATACTGCACAGAAATACAAACAAACACAGTCTCCCTGAAGACATTCTCAGCAAGCTCCGTTCCTGGAGAGGAGAGCCTGGGCCAGGCTTGACCAATTAGTCGCCTCACATTGGAGGGTGCACCACAGCCCCCCCCAAGATAGTGGTGCAGCTTCTCCCTGAGCTGCCATGGTCCTACACCAATGCACAGACAAAAGCAAGAAATGGAAAGTGCCCAGACTCTGCTGGAATTCCCCCCAACCACCCCCCTGGTTGCCTTCCTCTTGCTTTAGCTAGTTCTTTAGAAAATCCAGTGATGGTATACTGGGGTGGGGAGGATAGGTGGAAACAGGATGGCTTGGAAAAAATGGCAATGTCTCAGTTACATTGCTAATGAGTCTCTCCAAGTTGATCGCTCTGTCCTCTTGCCCCTCAGGAGCAATGATGCTCAGGCTACCCAGGGACCCCCATCCAATCCCATAATCCTCCCGCAGCTCTGAGGAAAATCGTCCCTCCTGGGTAGCAGTGTTAGCACCTCCTGTCTGCAGTGCCCAGATCCTGCCGCTACAACCCCCTGCACTACACTGGACTGAGAATTAGGACATGAAGAAGCAGCATCAAGGCCATTACTCTGAACGCCCATCCTACACTTGGGATCTGTCTGAAAGGTGGATCCACCCCCTTCCAAGCACCTGAGGCACAAAGGGAAAGAGCAAAAACAAGAACTGAAACCCACGCCATGAGTGGTGTGGCTCCATGCATTGAGGACCGGCCTGTGAACTGAAAGGTCTCCAGTTTGATTCCTGATCAGGGCACCTGCCTGGGTTGCGGGCCAAAGGGGCAACTGATAAATGTTCCTCTCCTTCTCTTTCTCCTCTAAGAAATAAATTTTAAAAAATTTTTTTAAAGAGCTGAAATCTATAAACATTTCAAGCCAGGAGCTGCTTAACAACAACCAAGAAACAGGGCAGGACACCAGTGTGGAGGTGGCCCGAGTCCTCGCGTGTGCGGTCACTTCAGCACAAGGAGCTGAATGAAGGGTCCCAGAGTCACCCAGGTCACACCCAGCGTAATGCACCGAAAAGTGAGATCTCCACACCAGCTGGGGCGACAGACGGCCATCCACCCCCATTCCTCCCATCTCCAGCAATTTGGGGGGTGGGGGAGGAGCCCGTGTTGGAATTGCCAGGAAAATCTGAGAACGCATCTTACCTGAAAGCCCCCCAGGGGCCAGATAATTCATTCCCCCTGTTTCAGCGGAGGAAGGCACAGCATCTGGACAGTCTGCTGTGGATTTCAAAAGGGGAGAGAAAGAAAGAAATACAGAAATAAATACATAAAAAACACCAAGATTAATTTTTAAGCACATTCTAAACAGCATTCAAGAGAAACCAAACATTCCACACTGCTGACTCCCGGCCCCGAGGCTGACATGAATGGGCTGCTCAGGCCTCGCGCTGCCCATGGGGAGACGGACCACAGCGCCCTGTCACCGTCTGGGCTCTGGGGGGCCAGTTAATCATTAGTCGAGTCAGGCTTGATCACAGACTGGCTGGAATTTCTCTCTTCTTGAAAATCCCCCATGCAGGGAAAGCAGGTAGCTCCCAAGGTCAAAGAAGGCCCAGGTTCTGACCCTCAACACTGGGGCTGTCTCCCTGCTGCCATTGCTCCCTGAGCCTCTTTGCTTGGACCCAGTGGCCGCTCTGCCATTTCCATGGACCAATGTCTCGCCCTGGTCTTTTAAAGACAGACTTGCCAGTTCCTTAAGACTTTCTCAGGACGGGCGTTGGGCTACAGGGACTTCTTTTTTCCTTGTTAACGGACATATAGTAAGTATGGGAAGGCGCGTACATCTCCGGCACAGCTCCACGAGCTGGGCTCACACTCACACCTGTGCGGAGCCACCAGCAGATCGAGATATCAAGACGGAGAACATTCTCATTCTCAGCAAGGCTCCCAGCCAGAGGGGACACACTCTAACCTGCTGCAGGCCTAGTCCAAACTCCCCATCTCTGGAAACCATCCCAGACAACCCTGGACCTGTGAGGCCCTGCCCTCGGTCCCTACAGCAGCATCTTCCTGGCACCCAGCGCCTGGAACTTCCTTCTGCTGCCTATACCTGACCCTTTACCTTCAGAGCCTGTCTGTACCAACGCTACTTGTAAGCTTCTGTTCATATTTTTGTCACCCTCGGGTACTAGGCACAGTGACCTAAATGTTTACGAGGATAACAACCTAAATGTTTATAAGGATAACGACAAATCTAGCTGAGAGGCAAACTCAGCAACCTCCCTGCAAGCAATTAAAACAAAAATTAATGCCCAGGAACCAGAACTAATGAGTCGCAGGAAACAAAAACGCACAAGACCCTGTAAGCACATCGCGCACCTGGCCAATGCCAAAGTTACTGAGAGCCACAGCGAAAGGCTGGTTCACACAAGGTGCCGCTGCCCTCACGGGGGTGGGGGGGTCGGTGGTACACACTCCAGCCCCCCACCCCAGGCCACTAGCAGGAGAACCTGTGGTGCCCACCACCAGTTTCCCACTGGAACCACTGGACCAGTAAACCAAGCAAAAGAGCCGTCCGGAGGCCCACAGCCCATGGGACCCCTTTAGTGGCCCAGCAGCTGTTTCCATTACCTGGTGAAGGGAGATGGGGGGCCCACTGGTAGCCAGAAAGCACCTCTGGGTTTCTGCTGCCTGCACGCCCCCCGCACTGCACCCCAACCCCCTCTCTCTCTCATCCCTGTGCCAACACTCGGCAGCATGCTCTCCGCGGCTGGAAAACCAACTTTGCAAGAATTTTCTCCACCAGGGGAGGGGGAAGCAGGAGGAGCCGCGGGCAGGGAAAGAGAAAAGACTGTGTGTGATCTCATTTTATCAGTGTAAAGTATAATTCCTAACCGAAATATACAGTTTTACAGGATACACTTAAATCAAATGGAAAACAATAGAGGAGACAGGAAATGGAGCTGCTTGTTAAATGGTGTGTACCCTGTACTTTCTAAACCACTTTGATGGCCTTCACCATGGTCTCCAGATCAGCTGCTCCCCACCCCCGAATGGAAGACAGCCCCACATTAAACACGATGACTTATGCAGGGCCACGCCTCCCGCCGGCTTTGGCTGGCTGAGTCCCAGGGCAAGGTGTTTCAAAGGAAAGGCCCGGCAACTCGGGGCAGAGCTGGGACCACGTTCAGGGTGTCGGCCTGCCTCAGATCAAAGGTAAGCCAGCCCCACACTGGCAACCACAAGCGTTTTATGAAATGGTGCTCTGCCCTTCTGCAGAGCCTTTGATCTCAGGAAGGATTTACAAACATTAATTAGGCCTCCCTACCACCCCTGTGAAACAGCAAAGTAGACCTGCTCAACTCGTACCCAGGTAAACTGAGGCGTCATTGACTAGCCCAAGGGGCCACCCAGTAAGCTGGGCCATACCCAAGAGTACAGCCTCTGTCCCACAGCTCCCCCTCCCCAGGCCACCAGAGTCCTCACTCTTCGCTCCCTTCCCTGCAGGTAGCTGGGCTGACACTATCTTCGGCATCCAGACTGGCCTCAAGCTACTGCCAGACTTGTAAAGTAAGGTCAGAGCAGCCACACCCCCATCGCTCAGCCACAAAAAAGCTCCCCAGAGGTGGAGCGCTACTGCCAGGGTCTCCGCTTCCGCCTGTGCTTCCCACTCTTCAGAGCCCAAGCTGGCACACACACGGAGGCACGGAGGCCCAAGCATCGCCAAGCCCCCAGTGGATGCTGGGCGCCGTGGAAGAACCCCTCTCCCAGCAGCAAGAGTCTCAGAAGATGCCAGGGGAGCAGCCAAGGACGGAGCTGGTGAGAGGCGTACAAGCTGAGGCAGCTGGAGTCCCAATTCCCTCACCAAGAGGATGGGTCCCAGTGCGCCAACCCACTCTTTCAAATTAGTTCTGAGCTTCCCAAGTGTTGTCCCCAAGACAGAGGAGCCACACCACCACCACCACACCCCAAGTGTCCCCCGCTCTGCCCCAATCCACAATCTTGGTCACAGAAGGACAACCTACCACTGCACTGGAATCATCACACTTTTTAGGCAGGCACATCACCAGGCCTGCAGAATCAATGACTGAACCAAAAAAGGAGCAAGTAAATAAAGCACCGATCTAAGTCTTTGATCATCTGGAGATAGAATGAGGCCTGGAAAAGTTGAGAGGAGCCTGAGTCGGGAGGTAAAGGCAGGCTAGATCCCAGTCTCCCCAGCTAGACTTTGGAGGCTCCATCGCCAATGGACACTGGCCAAGTGGGTCCCCAGCCTAAGCAGGTCCAGTGCACCCCACAACAACCCCGCCCCCGCCCCCATTCTTCAACCCTTTCAGGCCATGGGATACAGCGAACACAAGGAGCAGGGCCCTCCAGTGCCATCCCCTCAGCACCCCCCACTGTGACGTGAGATCTAACCCCAAACAGCACACTCCTGTCCCTGGTGCGGTGAGGGAGGGCAGGGAGGGCAGGGAGGGCCGCCTGACTCCGTACTGCCAGGAGGCTCGGCCACCCTGTCCCTAGGTTCAGCCACATGGAAGGCTCCTTCCCAGAAAGTGCTGCTGGCAGTCAGGTCTACAAAGGTCAGGCCCTCAGAGGCCGCAGCCGAGCGGCTTGAACCACAGCAAAACAGCTTCACTTTCAGTCCCAAGTCCCTCCGCGGGCTGCAGGGCAAGGCCCGGCCCCCTTCCCGCCGCCTCTTCTCAAGCTGGAGCCTTCTCAGAAAGGATTCCCTTAGTTGTGCAACTGGTTAAGATTTTAACAGTTGTCCACTGTAAAAATCTTATGACTGGTTCTCACCTAGTAACCCAAGACCAAAAATTCCACCTAGGGCTTAGAAACTTAAGAATGTAAGTGGCTGATCTAAATTCCCCAGCCAAATACTCCCCCCTCCCACAGAGAAGGTGAGGAGAAAAACCTGGGGCAGCATCTGTCTGTGTATCTGACCTCACCACCCCAGGTCACAACCCGCAAAATCAGCACACACCCCCACATGTCTGTGGCGGGGGGGAGCCCCCCAGCCCCAGACCTGGCTGCCCCTCCCTGGGTCAGGGCAGTCAGTCCCTTCCAGGGGGGCTTCCCCTGCCACCACCGCTCCTCCTGTCCTTACACAGGGATAACTTTTTTCATTCCTTTTTTTTGTTTGTTTTATTTTAAACAAAGCATTTTGGGTGAGTAACCAGCCGTTTGAGTTTCCGATTGGCAGGTTAATCACTTCCTATTGGCTGATGTGGAGAACTTTTCTCTCCCCGCCCCCCCCGGAAGTGGCACATTCCTGTCTATGTGGCTTCTCTGTTTACACACATTTTGCTACCTAATGTCAGCACTTGCTAATGAATAAATATATCACTCCACTCACTGAAAATGAGGTCCTGGCCTGGCAGAATGACTGCTTAAATCCGGTGAACAGATTTATTCTGGTATCTCTGCAGGAAAGCCAAGAGAATGTAACTCTTCTCGTCTAGGGTTTAAGGAGGTTTCTGCGGGCATTTACCCTTAGGGTCAGTGACTGGTCTTTCTTTTAAGGAAAACCTCCGAATTTGAAGACTACACAAGAGAAAAAACAACAACAGGACAGAGGTGACCCCTTGAAGAACTAACCTCAGGAAAGAATTCTTGAGTCTTAGAGCCAAAAACCCAGTCAAATTATTCTTTGAAAAGCAGCGCTTGATAATTTCATTTTAACATTTGTTATAAATACAGAGAGCTGGTTATCTACTCATTAATGACCATTTATCTGGTGTTTTGTAAATCGAAAGCAAAATATCACATGCTTTGCAGGCCACTTATTAAACAGGCACCAGGCAAGCAGCGACGCCTTCCCGACTTGAGAGAGCGGTGTGGAGTCCCAGGAGGGCTGTGGGCTTCGGCTACACCGTTCATTAAAGTATTTAATTTATGACAACGCCCCAGCAAAACTTTTAATTAGTGGGGGGAAAGCCCAACAGCCAAAGCTCATGAAGCACAAGACCTAAGAATTCCAAGAGTAAAATGAGGCCCAACCCTTCACTTCTCTCAGAACCTTGGCAAAAAATAACATTGTATTTTTCAGGCATCCAGTATATAGGACACAAAGTTTCCAAGTTACGACCCCTACTTCTCAGCTACTGAATCTCCCCCTGTAGTAAGAAGAGGCTCCTGGACACAGGGGCCATCCTGGTCGTCACCCCCAGGCCCCAGTTTTGCTGACCCTCTTCCTCCTGGCACTGTCAGCTCCACAGGGTGAGCCCCACGCTGCCAGCCAGAAGCTGAGTGCAGACAATCACCACAGGGCTGGTGCCAGTCTCAAAGGAGCTTTTGCCCTGGCCCCATGCCATCTGGTGACAAAGCAACAGGCGGAGAGCTATGCTAAAAACTTTTATAGCCCCAACCTAGAGTTCTGAGCAAACCCAGGAGGGCGGCTGACTTGCAGGCAAGGGAGCAGAGGGAACCCAGGAGGGTGGTTTTGCCTTTCCTTCCTAAAATCTCTAACCGTTTACTCCACACGCAAGTCTTCTCTGCACCTTTTTCAAGTGTGTTCCCTTCCATCAGATTACCCATTCTTCCCACCCACCCCTCCAGTGCTCACAAGTCTGAGTTTTCCCATCAACCTGCCCTATCTGGCTCCCAAGACACTTCTGCACGGATCAAATTCCACGTGTTAAAGCTGAGCCAGCTTCAGTCACGGTGTGCAAATAGATGAAAGGGGAACAAATTGTAAAGCATATCTAGGAAACTTTTTTTAAAGTTATATATGTATACACACACACACACACACACAGAGCAAACTTCCAACAGAAAAAAACCTATAAACATCTCCAGGCAAACCCAGCACCTCCCCCCAAGCCACTGCCTGGGCAGAAAAATCCGCATTCTAGAGGCTGTTTCTAACTTGAGAGGAGGGATATTTTTAAAATCATCTACTCACCAGTTGGTTTGAGAAAATCCATCGGGTATCTGGAGTAAGGAGGAGGGGGAGACTCTGGAATTAAGAAAGTAAGAGAAAATAAGGGCCGAGCCATGAGAAAGAGAGATACAAACTTATGATAACAGAGGCATTCTTTTAGCCCAACTGTTTGTCTTAGCTGTGGGGGTTGGAGGCAGGGCCGCGAGGCGGTGATTGCCTTGATATTTAGCTGTCAGATAAACAAAGGAGGCCGCCTGGCGCCAGCCCCGGCGCTGCGCTCCTCCACGTCTGCGGACGCCACCGCGGCTCGGCCGGCCTGGCTGGAAACCACCCGCTCCGCCGCGGCTGGGCTGGCCCGCGCGCACTTCACAGTTCCCAGGGCGGGGGGCGACAAAGGCCACCCCCCCGCCCAGTCCGGGAACTGCAGACCCCGTCCCCCCCCCCGCCCTCCCCACCAGGGACTCAGTTCATCTTCGCCCCCGTCGCTCCAGTAGGCACCGGCTCGGGGAGCACCGGGCTCCCCCTCTCCTGGCCCCACCGAGAGACGCGCCCCAAGTGCGCTGGTGAACTCAGGCGGATCTGCTGCCGCCCGGGGAGCGCCCTTCCCACGTTCTGCACCGAGGCTCCGAGGAACAGGAAGCAATGGACGAGGCTGAGCAGATAGCGGAGGGAGCCGGTGTCTCAGCCCGGGCCCCGGCGCAGTAAATAAGGAGCAGCGTCGATCTGGAGAAACTGGGGACAGAACCCCCGCCGCCACCGCCCCCCCCCGCGGTTAATTCTGTGCTTTCTTGTGCTGAGAAAAAGAAAACCAAGGGACACCCAACTTCTCCTGACTGCCGGTTCTTTACAACCCTGGGCTGGCAGAGTTGAGAGGAGATACCCAGGTCGGCCTCCCATCCTCTCTTCGCCCCAAAATCTCCCCAGCTGACCGCTGGGGCAGAGTCCGGGCCGCTGAGCCCGACGTCCCTCTCTCTATTTACTAAAGGAGCAGAGACTCGTCAGCCTTTACAACTCGTTTCTCCCAGCCTTCCTTGGCGGGCTTGGACCGAATCCAACTCGGCCACACACCTCAACGCCTTTCCGGGTGCGGGGGAGGCGTGACCCCTACTTCTCTCCGCAGCCCCCCGACCTGGTCGGGAAATGAGGACGACTAATTTTTAACCGTGTGTCTGCAGAGTGTGCATAAGCAGCGCCCATAGCCCCATCAGGGCAACAGAAAAAAAAAAATTGGAAGGGAACCCCAGGGAAAACCCTTTCAGTTTCCCCTTGTCTCTACTTTTGTCCTCACGTCTCCTCCCGGGAAAGGCTGTGCACTCCCCTCCGGAGGTGGCTGCACAGACCCAGCCCGCGGGGGCTCTTCTTCCACCGCCGGAGCGCCGAGGGGAAGGGAGGGGAGGGTGGGCGCAGAACAACTTCTTACCTAGTTCGCAGAGTCTGCTAAGGTGATGGGGGTTGCAGCACACCAGCTCGGGGTTGATCTTCCCGTAAGATTCACAGCAACACAGCCTCTTGACTTCCGAGGAATGCCTGAGATCCGGCCACCTGAACACTTTGCACAGCAGGAGAGGGAGCGAGTAGGACGAGGGCGGCTGGGCGGGCTGCGAGCCAGCGGGCGCCCCCAGGCCCAACCTGCAGTCCAGGCGGCCCGGCAGCAAGAGGCACGCGGTGCGCGTACCGCCGCGGGACTCCACGGCCTGGAGCAGCAGCTCCAGCTGCCGTTCCTTCAGTTTCTTAAGCACCGAGTGTGTGAGCGCCTTCAGATCCGCCTCGGCGCCCCCGGCCGCACCGGTGCCCCCCGCTGGGGGATGGGGATGGTGACCTTTGGCACCTCGGGCCGCCTTCCCCAGGCAACAGCCAGACCTGCTTGCGCCGCCGCCACCGGCCCCATGTGCCCGGCCGTCCGTCGCCCCCTCTCCCCGCAGCTCGCCGCCTCCGCCGCCTCCCCCCGCGCCCTCCTCCTCGTCCTCGCCGCCGGGCGCACGGCTCCTCCAGAGACGCCGGACGAGCGCAGATCGTTTGGTCCTGAACATGCGGGGCGAGGAGGCGAGGAGAAAAGTCGTTTGCCGGCTAAGGAGCGAACATGACCTCCGCACACCATGAAGAAGTCGGGTGCCGAGTTGGGGCAGCAGGCGCAGGCGACAACAGCAACAACAGGGGCCCGGGCAGGAGCGGCGGCGGCCCGAAGGGCGCTCCGTGGCATGCGCCAGTCTCCCGGAGGCCGGGACGCGCACGGGGGCCCGGAGGCGCCCGCCGGGGCTCGGGGGCCCGCGCTCCGGCTGCCCCACCCCGCGCGGCCCGCGCCGTGCGCCGCTCTCGGGCCCCGGCGCACCCCGGAGGAAGGCGGCCGCCGCTTCCCTGGGGTCGGCAGAGCCTGCCCAGGTCGGCGCCTCCCCAAAAAGAGGCCCCCCCGCAGTGGCTCCCGAGTGTCGGGCTCGCCAGCCTCGGCTTCCTACATGGAAGACCAGCGGGGGCAAAAAACGAAAGGCGTTGGACGGAGCTGGTGGAGGGAGGAAAAAGCCTCTTTCCCCCTTGCTAAGCAACTTAATTTGGGGGTGGGGAGAAGCAGGCAATTAAAAAAAAAGCAGGCACGCGATTTATTTTTTTCCTCTATATCCTTAGTAACCGGATCTCCTCAAATTCCGTGCACACGAAGACTCGGGGGAGGGGGCCGAGTGGACTTCACCCTGCATGAGACGTCTGGCGAAATAAGAAGGCTCTCTCAAAATCTAAGAACCAAATATGCAAAGCTCAAAATGAAAAACACCACCTCCTCCCACCCTGGAGGTCGGGGGCCGTCCGACTGGAACTGGGGTTTAAAAAAAGAAAATGTTTACAAAGTAGAAGAAGACGTTTGAGGGGTGGAAACAACGTATCCACAAGTTACATCCCCCTTTTTCCCTTGCAGATCCCCGCTGGTCTTCCTCTCCTTTTCTTCTGCCAAAAGAAAAAAAAACTATGTATTTTTAATCCACAGAAAGCTTTGGCTAGACTGCTTCACTCCTCCGCATATAGGTGTTTCAGGGGAGTCTCTGGTCTTTCCTCCTTCGCTCCCAGGCGCTCCGGACTTCCTCGGGGTGGCGGGGCCGCAGGGGCAGAAGATGCTGCGGCGGCGGCTGCGCCCGGCGGGGCTGACAGCGCGGGGGAGGGCGGCGCGGCAGCGGCGGCTGGCCCCTGGCGGGTCGCGCGCTCTCGCCCTCCAGAGCGCAAGATGCTGTCTAGTTCGGGGGCCGCCGGCGCCCCCTCCCCTGGCCGCGGCTGACGGCTGGGCTCTCCGTAAGGGCTGCTCGCCTCAACCCGGCTATAGCAGCAGGAGGCCCCGGTGTCCTCACGCCGCCTCCTCCTCCGAGACTCTCCTCGTCGCGCCTGGGAGCCTCCTTGTCCCCCGTCCGCCCTCTCCTGGCGCTCGGGTCCTTCTGCCGCCTCCGGGGTTCGCCACGCCGCACTCAGGGGCTTCGGGGCCGGGCTCTCGGCAGCTCGGCGCCGGCAGGCTGGCTCTGTCTGGGGCAGCTCTCTCGGGCGCGGCGAGCGGACCCAGCACGGCGCCCAGCTGGCTCGGCTGGCGCGGCTCGGGAACTGGCTCCTCTGTGCACCGAACAGGCGAGCGAATGTGCCCGAGGCTCGTTGCCTCCTGCAAGGCCTCCCGCCCCCGCCCCCTTCCCTCCCCCTTCCTCCCCCGCCCCCAGCGGCTGCCGCCGCCGCCGCCTCCCCCCAACCCCCCCGCGGGCCCTCTGCTCTGCTGGTTCCACTGCGCAGTGGCGCGCCCGGCTCCGGCTTCGTCACGTGGCCGTCTAGACACCCTGTCGCTTTAAAAAAAAAAAAAAGCGATTGTGTTTCGCAAACAACAGATCGGGTTTCTAAAAGCTATTTCTCCCCCCGCCCCCAGCCACCACCACCCCTCCCGGGTTTTCGGAGAGGGGGACCTTGGAGGCTGGGGGGGGGGGTGTGAAGGGGTGCGAATAAAGGTGGGGAGCAAAGAAGCTCCTAGAACGGACTGAGACCTGGCCGGGTCAGAGGAGAAATGAGAAGCCCCGAGAGCACCCAGCGGGCTTCGCCGGCGAGTTGCGGAGCGGAACGAGCCGGTCGGTGGCCCGATTTAGACCCAGCCCGTGGAGCTTCGCGGTGGCTGTCCCGCGCACTCGCCCTAGCGCTTCATTCATTCGTTTTGTTTTAAAGGCCCTGGCGACGGATCCCTTGGCCGCGCGGGAGGGAAGGGGGAGGAGAACGCTGTCTCCGTTCAAAAGACATTTACACTGGACTGGACCGAAGCCCTGGGAGGTGTGCGCTGGAGGGAACAGCCGGGCCGCCGAGGGCGGGGAGGCGGCGCGAATGTGACCTCAGCGGCGGCCGCGTGCTCCCTCCCGCCCTCTCCCGTTCCGGGCTCGGGTTTCTAGGACTGCTTGGAGAAGTGTGTCTTGTGCACAGCTCTGGAATGCATTTGGCCGATTGACGAGCTGCGAGGGGCAGCATCCTGGCGGGAGAAGGTGGGGGCGGGGGTGGGGGCGCGGCGGGACTCGCACGCCCGCCGCTGGCAGGTTTCCTCTGGAGCCCGGAAGACCTCAGCCACCCCGCCTCCCGGCGCGGGGACATTACCTTTGGAGCAGACCTGCCTAGGACGTACACATGCCTGCGGAACCCGTTTCTGCCCCTTCGTGGGCCCCGTAGTGTTCAAGGTGCTCAGGGTCAGAGGTTTTATCCCCTGACCGTACGTTTGGGAGAAGCACAGACCCGTTGGCAGATTATTGCATGGAAATGGGGAAAGCATTGGAAGAAGGCTAAAGGACCAGAACTATTTGCTTCGTGAAAGCAGATGGTGCTGAGAAATGTACTGATTCAAGTGTATGTATAGGCTTCAGTATTAATGAGGCCACTAGTTGGCATGGTGATCTAACCTCACATCTTTTTTAGTGGAATAAGATTTTTTTAATGTTATTTAAAATTGTGAGGTCAGGAGGACAGTGAAACTCATTGGTGAGTTTGACCGGATCTTTAGAAAAGAAGAAATGTACTATTTTCATTTTCCCAGCTAAATTATACATTCATAAAAGGGAAAGGCACAAACGAATCTTAGCCTTAGAGCTCCACCCACTTCCCTCCAACCATTTAAGGATGTCTGGCATGCAGTGAACGCTCACTAAATGTTTAGGAGTCAACAGAATGGATACAACTTAAAGGGTCATTTGGACCACACCCCCTAAGCCCACCAAAAGCACTTTTGGAGATATAAACATGAAAGAAAATCAGGAATATTGGTGACATGATCATCTCCAGGGAAGGGGTCCTGAAAACACGGGGACACCAAGCAATGCAGGGGCACGTGGTGGCATGGAGCAGGGACACGTGGCGGCATGGAGCACGGACCGGCACTCTAAGCAGTGCTTTGTAAGGCCAGACAGGCAACTGTACAGGACCATAATTTTGTAATAAAACTGTTGCTCCTTGAAAAAGGGCAGGTGTGTGTGTGTGTGACAGTGAGAGAGAACTTTCCAAAGACGCAACCTGCATCAATAGCAGCCAGCAAAGCCCAGGAGAAAATGGATGAGGGGGAGGCTGGGGTGTGGGTGACCCCATCAGAACAGGCCAGACGGAAGAGACAGAAAGGGTATTTTTGAGGTGTCTGGGAAATGTATAACCTGAGAAAAGCTTAGAAAGCATACCAGACTAGAAGTCAGAAAACCTGGTTCCCAGCAAGGGCTCTGCCATTCACTGGTTAAATAATTTGCACTTGTGATCCTCACATTAGGCGGGCACTTGGCAGGGCCAGGAAAGCTTTCTGGCCAAGTTTCCTGCTCTCTCGGGGTCCCTTTCCCTCTCTCGGCTCTGGGCCTCACTAGGAGATCTTTGCTCTTTGAGGGAGGCAAAGCAAGGCTCTCAGAGTGACAGGGCTCAAATGAACAGAAAGCAAATGTCCTCACTCAAATTCAGCTTCGAATGCTGGGGAATCTGAAGACTTTTGCAAATCTGGCCAGTGGTGCTAACACTGTAATGAGAGGCCAAGCACATGCAGGGCAGGTAGGTTTAGTGGGTGTTTCGGGAGTTGCATCTGACGTCACAGCTTGTCTGGGTGGAACATGCATACACTTGCAGAGATATGTTCCCATATAGTGTAATTGTGGGTGTTTTAATTCAGGCGTCACCCCTACCTTGCCCTCTCTGCTCGGCTTTCCTCCTCGATTTTACTGCCCTGAGTAGACAATGGGTGGATGCTGGGCAAGTAGCTACAATGGCTGGTGCTGCTTTATTAGCTCCCTGGCATCCCCTGAATCAGTTAACATCCCAGCCTTCCTGCAAGCCAGCCCCACCCCATAGCATTCTTACTCCTTTCCTTTCCAAGAAAGAAGCCGGGCAGCAGAGGAGCCCGTGGACGGCGAGTGTGCCTAGAAAGGGAGTGCTTTTCCTTTCCTTTTCCTTTCCATTCCTCTCCTTTCCGTGGGCCTCGGTGAGACCAGCAAACACCCTGTCTCAAACGATGCTGAGCCTTTAAAAGAAAAAGTTTAGAAGTTCACCAAACTATTGTGAATGAGTTTGATTCTAATCATTTACTGGCAGGGAATATGGAATAAAATATCTCATTTGCAGTTGTTTATTTCCTGTTGTGGCTTCTATTTTCATCGTTTAGTCACTTTGGTGATAGATATCAAACCGTAATCATGGTGCAGCCACAAGTCACAGGGACCAAAATAACTCACAGCAGAGCCACGACAAGCCAGGATGGAGTCAGCTCAAGACCTGGCTACTTAATCACTGGCCCCTGGCACCAGGACAGCTGCGGGGGCTGCCACTTCACTGACCGCTGGCCCAGCATCCAGAGGAGAGAGGAAGCCAGAAGGGAATTTCTCCAAGGTCCCTAGTCTTTAGCAGGCAGAGCCCCAGAGCATGCTGGAAGTGGGGGAGACCCAGGTGAACCCTCCACGGTGGCTGGGGAGGGAGACTGGCTTGAAAGAGAAAAAGGCAAAAACAAGAATCTACAGAACTCTCCACACCAACGGGCCAAAGCACAACATCACTCCTGTTCAGGGAAGACAGAATTCTCCCTTTCAGTGCTTTTCTCGTCTTCGGTGGGTCCTGGAAGAGAAAGGCAGAAAGAGCCCCAGAGTGGGGGTGGAGGTGTGTTGGTGGGGCCCGAGGACAGGGGTGAGGCAGGGGTCAGGGCAGGAGTGAGGCGGGTGAGGCAGGGGTAAGGATTTCTCCTTGCAGAAGCCAAAAGAAAAAAGAACAATAGAAGAAGCCAAAAAAAAAAAGTGTTGGAAAATATTGACATTTCTTGCACAACCGCCCCCTGAAAAATGTGTGAGTGAGCCCTAAAACCATCCTGAACTGGCAGCCATACAAATGGAAGCAATGGTTCATGAAAGGAAGGTTCACGAGGGAGGCCGATGTGACAATCAGCACTTCTTGGCTTATCTTAAAAGAACAAGAGCATAAGTGAATGAAAATGCATCTAATTCACAATCAGAGATGCTCTAAGACCTGACTCATCGAATATTCCTCTATTGCAGACACGCTGTCGGCGGCAGAGCCAAAGGATCTGCCCGGTGGCTGCCCTGGGTGCTCAGCCAGGTACTGGGGGCAGGAGGGCGGGGCAAGAGGAAATGGATGTTGTTTATGGAGGACACAGAAAAACACCCAGGGAAAGTAAAGATCGAGGACAACAGAGACACCCGAACGTACAGGCGTCACATGGGATGCGCCTTCTTCCTGGGTGGGGCACCGGCTGGCTAAGGACAGAGCGAGGAGGGGACGTCACTGGAGATGACTCCTCGCACCATGTGCATGTGTTACTTATTCAAAAACTATACAGATTTAAAGATTGTCTTCTAAATCCTTGGCTTGCTTTCCTCATTTCCTGAAATTTGCTCTCCTGATGTCCTTGTAGAAAAGGACAGGCTGGCGAAGTCCCCCGTGGGAGAGAGGCTACAGACAGCTTCTCCCTCTGTGGGGCAGTGACTGCAGGAAGGCCAGTGACAACAGAAGCCAGTCTGTCATCCCAGACGGCAAGGGCGGTGGCTGCCTCGTCATGACTCTGGCAAGAGTCAGCGAGGAAACAAGCCAGTCCTAATCAAAAGTCATTCTAGCTATCAGTCAGGTGCAAGTCCAAACCCAGGACAGACAGCCTCCTAAATACTGCTGTCGGGACCACAGAGGCCCAGGGAGGAGCCCGAGCAGCCCCAGGAAAGGAGAGCACAGCTTTCTGGAGCAGAAATGTGTTCACAGGATTCTCCGCCCATGTGGGCGGCATCCATTCCAAACATGGAGCCCGGCACCAGGGGAGACCCCTGGGGGATAAAAAGGTGGCATGAAACAGCCTCTGCCCTCAAGAGAGGCTGGACCTATGAAAACAGGCCAATCTTTACACACCATCAACGCTACCTTGGCAGCAAGAATGGGGGCACTGGCCCAGGAGAACAGAAGATGAAGGGGTGTATTCTGTCTGGGAAGGGTCTCAAAAAGCTGCCCAAAGGAAGAGCTATTTGGGACTTGTCAAGGTGAGCTGACTGACCAGGCTGACACGGCCAAGGTACAAATAATCATGTTCAATAACAAAACAGGAAAGAAAGAAAAAAATTGTAGTTTTCTGTCAACTTTATGCTCTCTTCAAAACCCAAGCCAT